GAACGCAGCGGTTCCAGATAATATGGATGAACTCTGCTCCGGTGCCGGGAGGTGTGATGATAAGATAGCAAAGCTTACTTTTATGTGGCGTCACTATGATGGTAATTTTGACACGTAGTTCGATTTGCAGTACAAGTTCTATGCTATGAAGAGAGCATCAGGGCATCTCATCAAACTATCTTCAAAGTAAATTTATCTTAGGCCTTTACGAACACGGTAAATGACTTTTACGCGTTTATTTTCGTGTTTAATCTACTAGTTTTACAATTTTATCGCATTCTCATTTAATGTGGTCACAGACGATTCTAGAATGATAAAAATAGAATTGAATTATAAAAACAAAAACGTGTGCGGCACTTGTAATTTTCCTGTTTAATTACAAAAATTTTTTTTTCACCTTCTGTTGCTTATTGAATTTCAATATTCATTCATCAGATCAATGAAATTATTTGGGAAACGGTTTGATTCAGCAAAATGCTCTCTTTTAATTTAGTCGAATTTAAAGACCTGCACATTAGAAACATGCCAGAAAGCTATGGTGAGAAGCATGCTGAATTTAAGAAAATCAGACAGAGTAGGAAACACAGTCAACAGTCATTAGAGTTCGCACTAAGATACAAAATGTTTCAACTGCAATGCGCAAACTAAAATGGCAATGGACAGGACATACAATAAGAGGCATCGAAAAATGAAACAAAAGCACAGGGTTGTGGTACCCTAGAGGTAGAAAAAGGGAACAAGGCAGACAGATTCAGAGGTGGGAAGACGAGATAAAGACGGTAGCAGGAAACCTATGGACGAGGAAAGCTCTCGAGTAGAGTGGAAAGAAATGGAGGCGGCCTTTGCCCCAAAGTTGGGCAAACAGACGAAGTTGTCGATGTCATCGACTCGGCAGAGTCATTAATTTAAGTTTATTATTTGTAAATATGCTTTTTGCGTCTGAATAAAGGCGTTTATTATTATTCATATAATTTTTTTTTTTGAAGTGAAACTTCTTTAGAATCGTTTTATTTTCAAACTCGATGAAACGAAAAAATAAGTCCATAGAGATATAAACACATAAATGTATAAGATTCAGCTGGCGAGAGAATAAGATAGAACATATTAGACGTTCTCTTTGTGCGACTCTTCGTAGCATCCCTACTATCGTATACCAAACATTGTCCATATATAATTATGTTCTTGTGTAGTGGGATAGTCAGTATACCTATATCTATACCTTATTTATAAGTTTCACTTCTACCGTATATGACTTGCACACACACACACACTTTATTATTATTATTATTTAAATTTTTGACTTTCTTAGGTATAATGCGGTAGGCAGCGGCTTGGCTCTGCCCCTGGCATTGCTGAAGTCCATGGGCGACGGTAACTACTCACCATCAGGTGGACCATATGCTCGTCTGCCTACAAGGGCAATAAAAAAATTTACGGACTCGCTCAAGTAAATGTCACGGTTTCTTGGGGTTGGCTAATTAAGCATTATGTGGTTGATCATCTATTTGCAGAAACTATCTTACGATTCTTTATTATTATTATTATCATTATAGAGCTGCACTTGTAGCATCACTATAATACGGCCTGTCACATTTCAGAGCTCTGGCCGAGCAAAATGCGCCTCACCAAAGACTCCATCCACCGGGATTTACAGTTTTATTTATTTTGTTTCGCGAGACCAGCGCGAACAATGGATGATTGCTTTTGTTTTAAAATTCGACGCCTTCGGATATTCTTTGTTTAGTACTACTCTATTGTGTGCACGTTTGATCGGTATTGCAGTCTGGTTTTTGGTTTGACTCTTTGAATAAATGTAAATAAGGTACTATATAGGTCTATGAAATAAGGTGATTGATTTTGTGACAGAATGCTGTTGACGTTTCGTCTCATGTTAGGTTCGTTGGAGCTGTGACGTATGGTGGTCCCGTTAACCATTTAAACTAAGTACAGAAAAAAAAAACTATTTATATTTGTCCAGGAATTAAACAAAATGATAAAATTATATTTTTACACTTTTATTATGTACTGCTTTTTATAATTTTATTATTCGACAAGCGAACCGAACCGGCTTCGCTCGGGTCTCTAACGAAAATTTCAACGATATTTGACGTTGTTTTATTTTTTTAAATAAATGGACACTTATTGTGGCATAACTATAATAGTTAGACATATTATGCTCTCGCTTTCTACACTTTTGAAAATAATAATGTGTTCTACAAANAGATGTACCACGAACACAGAAACAACAAAAGGAAACAAAACAAATAAAAACTTCCAGAAAGAGCACTTAGTCGGCAGATGTACCACGAACACAGGCCGCGCGAACAATGGCCGGGCTAACAAAAGCCGGGCGAACAAAGACCGGGCGATCGAGTGGACGATGAGCACGTCCGCACGTGACGGGTGCCTCTATCGGAATGAGTTCTCGCGTCTGTCCGTCTTCACGTCTTTGGTCGGGTCACCCCGCACTCCGCTTCCGCGTGTCCCCCTTGTTTGGGTATCGTCGCCGACAATATTTATTACTAACGTTATTTTTACTGACGTTGTAGCCAGGTGACGTCCCACCGGTTAGTGGTTACCGTTGCTCACGGACATCAGTGATGCCAGGGGTACGGTCAAGCCACTACTTATTGTATCATCAGCTCCAAAGTAATCCAGCTCTGAGAAAAATCGACGAATCAAATTCAGCGGCCTAGGTTTTTGTTATAAACTCATTTAGTTTTTTTAGTTTATTTTATTTAAATGTGCACGATTTTATAAAAGAAAACCCTTAAATTTACCCTTAAATTTTTACTGGTGGTAGGACCTCTTGTGAGTCCGCGCGGGTAGGTACCACCGCCCTGCTTATTTCTACCGTGAAGCAGTAATGCGTTTCGGTTTGAAGGGTGGGGCAGCCGTTGTAACTATACTTGAGACCTTAGAACTTATATCTCAAGGTGGGTGGCGCATTTACATTGTAGATGTCTATGGGCTCCAGTAACCACTTAACACCAGGCGGGCTGTGGGCTCCTCCACACAATTAAGCAATAATAAAAAAAAATAAGGTGATGCTACAAAAGCAACAATAAAATGAAAACGAATATGTCATTGGAACTTCTTACATGATTATAAACGGTAACAGCTTTCTTTCAATATTTTTCTTCATAAAATATCACGAGGAAGTGTCATCAATCATAATACCATGTTCACAAAATTTACTTTGATCAAAGCAGAATTGACATGCCGCCTTGCCTACATTCGAAAACACGATATGTTTATATTAAACAAGATGAAAGCGTCATTCTTTAAAATAAAACGTATTTATACTAACTAGAGGTCCCGCAGTAGTCGAAATTCGACTATAATTAATTGGAATTGTAAGTTTGTACACTATTATGATTGTATTTTATACTTCTATAATCACAAATTTCGCCAAGACTACACTATAAAAAGTATTAACAAAGACAAACAATATTTAATCTATTCTCAATTTGACAACAGACGTCAAGAACAAAATAAATAGTATGCATGCGTGTGTGCGTCAAATACATGGTATGTAGTTGTGTAATGTTTTCTTTATTGATTTAACGTATCCTTTATGCATTATTTAAAAAAAAAAAAGAATTGTGCACTTCTTCTCTATATTCTCTATAAGTGTGGAAAATTTCATACTCCTCCGTCTGCGCTATTTTCGTAAAAAGGGATACAAAGTTTTTGCTTCACGTATTAATATATAGATTTCAGAAATATCACCTCATTTTTAACGCAAACATTTTAAGTATTATTAGGATTGTAGAGTCTTGTGGGGCAACTGTACGCAATTTTTAGTAAATTGCTTCCAGAATAAAAGTTTTATGAAAAAAAAACAACGTTTATTCTAACGTAATAAACATTTCTCAGTAATAACAAAGCATATTTTTAAAATTCTAATAATAATTGTTATTTTTATTGAAACTTTTAATCATCAAGGGAAATGCGGACACTTACCCGTATCGGCGGGAAAGTGTCCGCATGTCTTCGGTTAAGTGTACGCAACGTCGGCAAAGTGTACGCACATCCGAAACTCAATCTTTTACTACACATAGATCACAAGTAAATATGCCACTCTCGCAGCTGGTGCAGGCTTCGTGCCACCAAGAGCTACAAATTCGTCATGATAATCGCCTTATCGTTGCCGCGTCATGATAATCGCCTTATCGTTGTCCCCGCTGATTACTCCCTGAATCCTGATCACGCAGGAGCAAGTCACCGTCGTCGCCCTAGACACGTCCTTACGGATCCATCAGATCCAATAACTCTTGCATTAGATACCTTCAGCTCTAACACTAGGAGCAGGCTAAGGAACCCCGGTAACCGTACTCGTCGAACTCGACAAAGAGGTCGACGTGCAACCTAACCCATGCATCAGCCCGCTGAGTTTCTCGCCGGATCTTTTCAGTGGGTCGCGATTCCGATCCGGTAGTAGATTCATTCGCGAAGCAATTGCTCTTGAGTTGTTAGGTCTCCTTCGGAGGCGCTCGGGCAGTTGTTAGCAAATCCCACCCCTCCTGGCTGAGCCTTTGCTCGCCCACCTGTCCTGGTGAAGCTGGAAAGGCCTCCGGGCCACCAGTAATCTTTCAATCACAAAAAAAAGCTACAAATTGAACATTTAATCCACGCTTCAGCCGTATCTCCGTACTTTTCTTGACACAACGGACAGTAGTACTCTTGCTCTGAACATTTATTCTTGTCATTGTCTTTAGTTTTAGTATTAGTCTTAATATTATCTTTCTTCTTTGGCTTAGTTTTGGTTTCCATGTTCATTTTTGGTTTTGTTATTTTCTTAGATTTTCGGTCGACTTCTTTTTGTTTCTCTTCTAACATATTTTTAAACGGACTATTAGTGATTATTTCCGATTTGCTGGCATTTTTGCGTCGTGTCTGAATGTGAGTTGCCTTTGGCAATGGGCTTATATTGATTAAGGGAATATGAGATTTGTGAGTATTCGAAATGTTACCGAGAACGGGAGGCGGAATTTCGATGTTAGGTTTTCTAGGTAGTGGAGAGCTTGATGGATGATAAACTTCAGCAACAGTCGAAAAATCAGACATCTCAAATTGTGTTTCTGATAAATCGGCCGACGCAGAAGCAACCAATTCTTGTGGAACAGGTGCAACAGATACAATATGATGATCCAAGCCAAGTGAACTTGAAGTAGAAGTTTTGAAGGACAGTATCAGAAGTTGGACAAAACATATCTGTAACTGAAGATGGTGCAAACTCTGCTTCTGTAAACAGGTCGTCGTTGAAGGGATATATTCCCGTGACCCTGAAAGCTGAAGCTGCGTTACCTACAGTGGCAATTTTTAGAAAGGCTCTGTTAAAAATCAAAGGCACTTGGTATTGATTAATAGATCTACCAGGATGCTGTGCCATCCATTTATCAGCTTCAATTGCGTACTGGCTTTTAAGAGGACTGTAAATAGCCTTATCCAAGGGTTGTAATTTGTGACTGCTGTGAGGTGGCAAAGTAAGTACTATGATGTTATGCTGTCTGCAATACAAGGTACCTTGCAAGCTAATATGGCTTGAATGATTGTCAATAATCAGTAGCACAGGATTATCCACAGTTGGTGAAGTATAGTCCTTGAAATGATGAAGCCATTCCAAATATAAATCCGTGTTGATAAATCCCGAATCAGATGTCATACCAATACTTCCAGTTGGAGCTCCATCCATGAGTTCACCCTTCATCCTTTTTCGAGGAAATATAAATGCAGGAGGCACATAATTTCCAGTTGCACTGACACAGCAAACAGCGGTTATAGTTTGACCACGTTCTCCAGAAACAATTTTATTAACTTTTTTTTCCCTTTCAGTGATATAACTTTAGGAGTCTTTTTTGGCACTGTGCTGATGCCAGTCTCGTCCATATTATATATTCGACCTGGAGGGAAGTTATATTTTTCTTGACACTTTTTCAAGTTTGTATAAAATCTATTTACTTGCACTTGATTAAAACCAATGGCTCTTGCAATGCTCGTAGGTGTAGTTTGCTTTAAAGCTAAATCAGGATGACCCAGTCTTTTCCAGCCATTTTTGTTGTTTTATCAAATCTATTCTCTATTTCATTCACTTCTGCAAATTTGTAAACCAATTTTCTCAGTGTATTCAAAGTAAGGCCGTAGAAGCTCTCGTCACTAGATTTGCAATGATTGTAAATTTCTTCCTAAAAACAAAAAAAGACAATTTTAATATATTCAGATGGCCATCATAGATAATTAATAATAACATTCCTACCTCTTGTTCACGTGTAAATGTTTGTTGATATCTCCCCATTGATGTTGCAGTGGAGTTGAGTTTTAAACGTTTTCTCAAAGTACTCTTATTGATCCCAACAATTTCTGCTGCGGCTCGTTTCGATTTTCCTTCTCCAATCAACTGCTTGGCTTTATCAGTTTGCTCTTGAGTACAGACTTTCCGATCGGGACATTTCCTTATATATTTTCGAGGCATTTTCAATCTGGAAGGTAAAAAAATACTTGATATGTTTTGTTACTTCGATGGGGTAAGTATACGCATTTCAAAACTGCGGACACTTACCCCCACACACTTACCCCAACCCATCAAAATAAATAAATAAAATAAAAAACACAAGTATGACTTACCTTAGATCAAATACGTAAATTCACACAAAATATTGATTAGTTTCTCCTGTTCCCAGTCACTTTGTGTACTTACTCAGACAAATCTTAATGCCTTAGACATGCAAATGAATTTCAAGAAATTAAATAAGAAAACCGTGCAAAAACAATATTGTCGCATAAGTATCCCCGGCCTTGAGCAGAAAACCTGTGACGCGGTACTCTTGCTTGGCAGTCAAGTGTGAACTAAATACGACAGGTCTCGACCAGTTGTCCACTGCGTCATTCGCACGATGTTCACTGCGTACACTTACCCGCTGCGTACGGTTACCCCATATGACTCTATGTATTAGGATTCTATATTCATCACTAAAAGTCCATCCATGATCCGTCAGAATCTTAAGCAGAGTTAGTTTAAATAATTATAAGAAAAATACATAGAAAAAATACCTTCGAATGCTTATTAAAATTTTTACACATATCAGAAAATTTATTTGCCAGTGAAAGTTTCGTAAAAACAAACCTTTTTCGTAGATTATACCGAATAATACTAAAGACAGACCGATTTAAGGATGAGACAAACGTCATAAAATATAATTGAATCTAAGTCATTATCAAAAGTCAATATCAAATCAATTTAACTCTAAACAGTGAAATAAAAAATTGCTTAGTACCTACCATTTTCTCGTCTGTTTATTTAAAAAGTTTTTCTTCTTTCCGTTGACAGCCATTAACGTGTATCAATAAAAAAAAAAGTGTGTGTGTCCGCTCCGACGCACGACTGGAGTTTACTCCTCAAGAACGATTATAAAATAAATAAATAGATAAGGGAATACGGGTATAAATGAATGCATTTTTGATGATACTTAGATTATGCACGGTAGATTTTTATTCTATTAATTATACAATAAATTTTTTGACATACATAAGGAAGCCATGAAAAAATATATAAAAAAAAGTGTGTGTGTCCGCTCCGACGCACGACTGGAGTTTACTCCTCAAGAACGATTATAAAATAAATAAATAGATAAGGGAATACGGGTATAAATGAATGCATTTTTGATGATACTTAGATTATGCACGGTAGATTTTTATTCTATTAATTATACAATAAATTTTTTGACATACATAAGGAAGCCATGAAAAAATATAAACAATAAAAATTTAAAACAATATCTCCGCAAGTTCAAAGTGTTTGTAGGTTAATATCGAATAATGAGAGAAACGCGCGATCAGTACGAGGCTTTGTGGCGGACTGCCGGCGCAGCAGCCCGGCGTCACCTGCGATAACGCGGCCGCGCGTTGGCTCCTGATTGGCGCGCGCACGCATCACGCAATCAGGAGCCAATCAGGCGCATAACGCATTTCGTGTGACATGCTAGTACGATTTTGATTGGCGCGCGCACGCATNACAAAACTTTAGCGCACAAAAATGGACCTCGATACGCAGATCGCAAGCGACCAACGGATCGGCACGTCCGCACTACCGAATTGTACGCACGATGTATTCACGGTCACTACACTGTCGAGCACAACTGTGAGTTCAGAGACGCGGCTCGCAAGCGGGCCACGGATCGGAAAGCACGTCCGCGCACGACCGAGTCGTGAGCGAGAATGATTTTTCTTTTGTGGTAGTGGTTATAGTCCAATTTTAACTACAAGGCGAACGCTCTGTATAACGATTTGAATATTTTTAGACACCTTCTGACTTGACATATCTTAGTGTTTTGCTTCGAACGAATCAAGACTCAAATGTCTTTGTTGTTTGACTCCAACTTCGCTAAACTCAACCACGGATCATTAATTCGTTTATTTTATTGCAATAAACATGTTTCATCTACCGAGAGTATGTTTCATCCATCAATGTCTGCGCCAGTAACGCCGTATCCACTTAAAGAGCAACCGAGAATTATTACATCTGGTTAGGAGTTGTCGCACTGTTTGCTGTAAGCGTTATAAAATTGCGATGATTTTGTCAACGTTTAGTTGGTGTTTGGACTTGACAAATCAATATTCATTGTTATTTTAGCGGAGTCTAACAAAAATGTTAAAATCTAACTTAAAAAGAAATCGTTTATAATCGCGTTTATGAGTTTTTTTTACGTCTGATGGTAAAACTTCGAGGGAAACCTGGATCCTTCCTAAAGTTAAGTTATTTCGCTTACTGTGCCATTGCCACTTCAAGACATAAGAGTTACAACTTTTTTTTTCCCTACCTCTTCTAGTAGCCTCTAGGGGTTATACTAAATTCGCCTAATTAGTAGGTGAGCTCATGGGGCTCAAAGCCGACGACGTTGCTAACACTAACCCTAGAGAGAGCAGTGCTTCGCAGAATCTACCACTGGATGGAAAACGCGACCCATTGAGAAGATCCGGCGAGAAAATCAGTAGGCTGTGTCTGTGGGCTAATTTATTCGCTGAGCCCTTCGTCGCGAGCGACGGGTTCGACGAGAACGATGCCCGGTGCTTGAGGTACCTAAAATGACCGTTGTTAGATCGAGATCGGCTGTTCCAACCTTAAAACCAAAACACATGCTTTCGCATGTCTCCATTTTATATTCAGCTTTACGTAAAATTAAATTTCTGAATATCTGACACCATACCTTATTTCCTAATTCAATTATGCCACTAGTCAAAATATTTCAAAATTCAAATAGGGACCTATCTTTAAAAAAAAAATAATTAAAAACAATAAGCAGCAAAAGCGTTGGTTATACGTAGCATATTGTTGTTAGTTTGGCAGCATACCTTCGAGAACGTAAAAGCAAAGTACCTCGATCCGAGACGATATTAACTATTGCAATATGCATAGCTGGTGGTTCGGTTTACAAGATAACCGAGTCTGCGTTGTCAGTTTTGAATCTAATACAAACTAGGATTATATATTAGATTTCAAAGTGTTCTATAACAGTATTACGTAGTTTGCATTTCATGTCGCATACGGGTTTTGTTAGTGCACCAGGGATGTCAATTAATATTATACTGAGACAATTTGATATTGAAACTAGGGCATCTTGTAACATACCTATACAGGCAAAATGGTACCTATATCATATACTATTGGTAATATATGGACCTATACAATTCTGCCTGTTTCTACCGAGAAGCAGTTTCGGTTTTAAGGGTCAGCCAGTTACCATGCATTATAATCAATATTTCGACGTCATCTCTAGAGGTGCCATTCGTATTGTGAATTTCGGGGTCTCTAGTAACCACGTCAATAAAACACAGCATTTCTGGGCCATTTTAATAACTAAAAAGCTTTGTAAAGTTCTTATGTAACAAGATAAGGCATGTTCCTCGTCCTAAAGACTTCATAGCTACCCGACGTATTAAAATTTGTAGGTAATTTTTCTCCGAAACTTTTGAAGCAACGTGGTACCTAATGGGTTTCTAACGATTATGAAAGTTAGGGTCAGAATTTAACTTGCAAAATCTAATAAAAAATATTGTTTCATTTTCAGAGTCGAACGATTTTTTTCTCAAATGTGGCCAAATGCTGATGTCTAGACGGGTTTAAGGTTCTCTTGTTCCTTAAGCAATACAGTTGTAAAGACTTAACAAATTTTGTTGGAATGTGCTGCGTAATTATATATTTAACATCACTTTTAATCTTGTATAGCCTCAAGCTTGTTCAAAACTTGGTCTCAGATCTCAAATCTTTTCAGTAATGTTTAAAACGTTATTTAGTTAAAAGAATCTATATATTAATACGTGAAGCAAAAACTTTGTATCCCTTTTTACGAAAATTGCGCGGACGGAGGAGTATGAAATTTTCCACACTTATAGAGAATATAGAGAAGAAGTGGACAATGCTAATATTTTTTTTAAATAATGCATAAAAGATACATTAAATCAATAAAGAAAACATTACACACACTACATACCATGTATTTGACGCTCACATGTATGCATACTATTTATTGTCAACCTTTTGTTCTTGGCGTCTGTTGTCAAATTGAGAATAGATTAAATATTGTTTGTCTTTGTTAATATTTTTATAGTGGCGAAATTTGTACTACTGCGGGACCTCTAGTTAATGAAAATTTTGCAATAGATCTATTCCAAATGTGAAAATTTCAAAATTGAGTACGATTTGATACGCTTCTTTCTGTAGTTAACAGATTTTGGTAGTAGACGAGATATTTTGGATCTTTCACGATCTATATTAAAGTATAAAGTAATTAATAAATAGAAATATTTAATAAAGTCAGTCAGTCAGTTAAAAGAGTCAAAATTTCCTTACCATAACACTTTCTCCAAAAAAGATGGATGGAAAAGGTGGAAATTCGATACCGTAGATCTCATAGAACGCAAATCACATAATGACATCTAGCTAATATATTAGCACTATTAGATATCAACATTCACAAGGTATCAATGAAACAAAACATTTATTTGCACAAACTGCAGTTTTTACTCAATACATTTAATTGAATAGCTAAACACATAGAAGAAATTAGTGGCAAAAGCAATAACTAAAGAAGAACAAATTTTGGCGTCACGTATTACTAAAATGACGTCGCAATTGGTGTCTGAGTTATCACGAAAATGTTATTGCGGCTGAAGTAGGTAAAAGCCCACTATTAATTCATGACATAGCTATTCATAGCATCGTTGCTAGCTAGTTCTACTATGTTCGGTTTAGACTGCTAAGAATGTATGGCGACATTTGCTGCATTTCCTTTACCTATTTCAGCAATATAATATTGTTACCGAGTCCAGGCAACCCCCGTCCGAGAGCCAGCGCTAAAACTATAAAAACGATCCCTTGCTGCGCCTTTGCCTCTATTTTGTGTGTGGCGTTCGTGTGCGCGGTTCTTGTTGAAAAATGTTTGGGACTTGTGTAATTTTAACAGTTTTCGTTAATAGTAAATTGAAATCATTTTGTTAGAAGCTTTGTTAATTCAGTGAAATATAATTAGGCCAGTTCTGTGTTATTTATTTCTTTTTGTTAACTACCTCACTTCTGGTCGATAATAATGTAATAATTGTGCTAATTGCTTTAAAGAGTAAATAAATAAGTGCTTTAACGAATCAAAAGTGCTATCGTTAATGGAATTCCGTAACAGAATTTTATACATAGGTGCTATCCAGACACGTTTATCGCCTTTTTGGTTTAGTATTCTTGTAGTCGTCGACTTAATGTACGAGTGTCGTGGTTCAAGTTTGATTTGTTGGAGATAGTTTCTTTGTGAACGATAT